TGGGTTCAGTCACATCACAAACACCCAGGTAGATGAGGACTAAGGAAGACCAAGGACTGGAGAGCCGGCCCAAATGCCCCGTTTCTTTAGCCCCTGGACACGAGTGGCCCCTCCGCACTGAGTCCACGGCTCTCCTGCAGGACTGTCCTGTGTTGCAGACACCTTGGCTGGCAGGGCCTCTGGCTGCCCTGGCGTGTGCTGCGTCCCCTTCCCCGGAGCCCTCCGTGCCCTTGGCCCAAGCGTCCGGAGGTGGGGCTGCTTGGTGTCACCTGGGCCCGCCCTGGGTGCTGGGGAAGGCCCGGAGGGAGGAGAGGGGACGCCGAAAGGGGCCACCCGGGCTCCGAGCCGGGGCCAGGCACTGGGACGCGCGCCCCTTTGCGACCTGGGTGCTGACAGAGCAGGGACAGGGGCAGCTCGGGCGCGGATGACTCCGTTGTGACCACAGATTCGAGAGCGAGGTTTTGCTCTGCCTCGGCGGCCAAGCTCTGGGCGGCGGGGAGGGGGACCCCGGCCCCTGGCCCGCGCTCACGGCGCCCCTCGCCCCGCAGCCGAGCCCATCTCCGCGCGGCAGCCGGCCCTGCGGCCGCACGTGCACAAGCAGCCGGAGAAGACGACCCGCGTGCGGACGGTGCTGAACGAGAAGCAGCTGCACACGCTGCGGACCTGCTACGCCGCCAACCCGCGGCCCGACGCGCTCATGAAGGAGCAGCTCGTGGAGATGACGGGCCTGAGCCCCCGCGTGATCCGGGTCTGGTTCCAGAACAAGCGCTGCAAGGACAAGAAGCGCAGCATCATGATGAAGCAGCTGCAGCAGCAGCAGCCCAATGACAAGACCGTGAGTGTCGCCGGCCGGAGGGGGCGGGGAGGGCGCGCGCCAGGAGCCCAGGCTGCCCAGGCTGGCCGGAGGCCTCGGTGTCCACCCTGCTTGGGAGCAGGAGCCCTGGAAGGCGGCCCCACACCCCAGGGCCAGCCTGATTGGGGGTGGAGGGTGGGAGGGTTAACCCACTACCCCAGCCTTCACGGGTGGGCTCATGCCCCTCAACCTTCACGGGTGGGCTCATGCCCCTCAACCTTGTCCCCTTGTCCACACAGGGACCCCTCTGCGGGCAGGCGGAGCGGCCAGGCCTGGCTCTGTGTTTGACATTCAGGTCCTCAGCTCTAGGTGCCCTGAGAGGAGGGAGGGACAAGGCTTGGCTTTCTCTGAAATCCAGGGGAGGGGGGAGGGGTACCCTGGAGGCCCCCCCCCAGTCCCCTGCCCTCCACCGGCTAGGCCTTCTGCAGCACCTTGAGGCCTGTGATGTCCCCCAAGGTGACCCCAAAGACAGGGCACCCTCTGCTCAAAGTCAAGCCCAGGCTGCAGAGATGTCAGGCCCTGGCACTGTCCCCCCCTCTCCTCCCTGGTCACAGCAGCTCCCACCACAGGCCTTCTGGTTAAAAGAACCTCAAGAGTTCCTTTTTCCCCCCCTCTTTTGCTTTTTACTGCTTTGGCCCTATTTTTAAATGCCATAAAACCAGCTGTCATTAAACTTGGCAGGCCGGCCCAGCCCGGGCCAGGGCACTTTCTAAGCTGGTTAGTGCTTAATAGTACCACAGCCGCCAGACCCAAGGGCTGGAGGGCGGGGGTGGCCTGCAGGGAGAGCCGCCTGGAGAAAACCTAACCGAACAGCTCAGCTCGGTGAAACTGCCCAGGAGGCCACCCTGTCTAGAGCTGAAGGGAGGCCTCGCCGGCCTCTGCGGCCTGTGGCCTGGGATGGCCGCCGGGGAACAGGGATTCGCCATGAGAGTCGGGGAAAGAGGGAAGTTACAGCAGAGTTCGTTGTAATGAGGCCCAAGCAGACCTAATAGTCCAGCCCACAGAAGCAGAAAAACAAAACACAGTAAAACAACAGGGAACCCCAGCTCACATCCATAGGTGCAGCAGATTAACCGAGTCAATAAAGGCCACCATAGAGATAAGATAATGCCTGGGCATATTTGTTCAGCCCGAGCAGACAATGGAGGGAGGGCGTTCGCTCATTAACGTGTTGGGGCGGGGTGGGGGCCTCGTTCACAGAACATCCAGGGGATGACAGGAACGCCCATGGTGGCCGCCAGTCCCGAGAGGCACGACGGTGGCCTGCAGGCCAACCCGGTGGAGGTGCAGAGTTACCAGCCGCCGTGGAAAGTACTGAGTGACTTCGCCTTGCAGAGTGACATAGATCAGCCTGCTTTTCAGCAACTGGTGAGTGTCAGCTCCCAGCGCAAGTCTCCACCAGCAAGGAGGTTCTGGTGTAGCCGCCTCGAAAAGAAAGATCCCAGGGGTGGGGGTGGGGGGGACGAGTGCTTCCCTGGGCCCAGGGTTGGGCAGAGATGAGGGTGGTGTGGGGAGGAGGAGGAGCAGGCTCGCAAGGAAAACAAACCTCCCGTGAGCCTTTTCTGTGGGCGCCGTCATTTGACCATCCAGGCTGCATTGTCTGCCAGTCCTGCTTTGATGGATTGGCCTCAAGGTGCCTGACTAAATCGCCCTGCGTGGGAAGGCGCCGGGCTTGCAGAAGCACACCTCTCCGACTGGGGAGTGCGGAGGGACTTGAGAGAGCACCTTGACACTTTAATCAGCAATTAGTATATGCCCTCCCGCCTCAGCTCCTAGAGAACGGGGTGTTTCAGGGCCTAAATCAAAGCGATGTTAGTAATGTGGACCTGCATGATCAGTGTCATTACCAGTGGGCAGCAGGCATCTGTCTGGGTGCAGGTTCAGATACATCAAGAAAGAGTCCAGTTATTATTCAAAGACAGGACCGATAGGATAGCCCTTATTGTGTTACAATAGCCCTTTCTGGGACTGCCCTCATCTGAAAGTGGGACTGTTGAAACATTTTTAAGTATAGGAGTTCAAATTTCACACTTAGTGACATACTGTCCAGCATGTATTTAGCAAAAGGGAACACGAGTTCGACCCATCAGAGAGATACTAGGTGAAAATCTCTTAGAATGCTTCACACATCCAGAAAAGAGAAAAGGAGCTCACCTTTCACCTACAAAAGGCTTAAAGGTCAAGATAAGTAAGATTATTAAATCTACGTCCTCTGTGGTATATGTACACATAAGATTTTTTTTTTTTTTTGCTTAAATAGTAAACAGCCCTAGAGAATCTTGTATGACATAAGGTCTATCCTAAAAGCTTGTTCCTTTCCTTGGAAATGACAGTTTAATTGAGGTTAGCTTTTTACCCTCACATTACCTGGAGGGCATTTTCTTCCGCTGTGGCCACACGTAGGTAATGTCCCTGGTTACCCAGGCCTGGCCCAGGTTTCTGTCTGTAAGTCGGCCGGCTGGGAAAATCTGAGGAGTCCTTTGACCTCCCAGTGGGAAAGCTGAGCATCGAGGAGAGGAAGGTGCCTCTGGAATGAGGAACCGTCACTTCTTTAAAGTCAGGTTAATCTCATGAGTTATTTGGGTGGAACCTGGACCCTAGAGGGCAGGTGGGGGAGAATGCGGGGCAGCTTCCGAAAAGGCAGTGACGGATGTGAGCAGAAGGAGGAACCCAGGCAGGAGGCGTGGGTGGGGGCTGGGCAGAGAAGGAGCTTTGCGGCAGCAACATGACTTTCTCGGCTCCAAAGGAGCCCCGTATTTATAATGCGATGACGTTATAATCTATGGGTCTCCTCTGGGAAGCGAGAGCCCGGCTTAAAGAGAAAGAGGAGACGGAGAAAGGCCCACAGGCTGCAGGGCCAACGAGGAAGGAGGCCCCGGCTGCGAGCCCTTGGAGGAGGCCATCACTCTTCCTTGGGGCCTCCCCGGCATCGCCGGTCACAGGAGCTGAGCGATCGGAGTGTGTGTTACGGATTTTCCAGCTCAAGGGGAGAGGCTGTGATGCCTGGAGACAGCACTCGCCTGCTCCCGGGGCAGCACGTAGCCCGCAGGAGGATTTTATCTCGGGCATGCGTGGTAGAGTCCCGATGCATCCTACAGTGGGAAACACGTTTGTTCTAAATAATTGAAGGCAACATAAGGTTGGGAATTCAGGTTCAGCTCCAACAGGTCTCTTGGAGGATGGGAAATGGAGAGGGATTCTCCTCAAATCCCTTTCCTGGGAGGCTTGCTTTAAGCCTGTTAAAATGGAGTCCCGTCCCCGGATAGCTCTCTCTACATATCTCTCTGTCTACACACACCGGTCCCGCAGGCACCCCCACACAGACGATCTGATCATCCTTTTCTGTGTGTGATCAAAGCCTCCTTCATTCACGTCTCAACCTTCCCCGCAGGTCAATTTCTCCGAGGGAGGACCGGGCTCGAACTCCACCGGCAGCGAAGTGGCCTCCATGTCCTCGCAGCTCCCGGACACCCCCAACAGCATGGTGGCCAGCCCCATCGAGGCCTGAGGACACTCACCACGCAGATGCATTTTTTCCCTGTTGGAGACAGTGGGAGCCCATCCCGTTGAACTCCGAAACACGAGTATTTAACGACCCAGTCCATGGAAACTGAATTGAGGAAATGAATGCTCCATGAAATGCACGAAGTCTGTTTTAATGACAAGGTAATATGGTAGCAACACTGTGAAGACAATCATGGGATTTTACTAGAATGAAAACAAACAACAAAGCAAAACCCGAACCCAACACACGCTATCCAGTGACCTTAGGAGGACTGAGGAAAAAAAAAAGACGTTTTTAAAACGTAGAGGATTTATATTCAAGGATCTCAAAAAAAAAAAAAGCGCTTTCATTTCATTGCCCATCTAGAGAGAAGCCGACGTAGCGATGTTTCTAGTCCGCCCTGCGCTGAATGGTGCTGTTTCTGTGTGGGTCCCCGGCTTTGCCAAACAGGAGCCGCAGGAGGAGCGGCTCAAAGGCCCTTTCAGGAGAGGGCGCTGGTCGGCGCGGTTTCCCGTTGACTTAACAAGGGGTTAATTGAAAGCCTGGGTTTCTTAGCATGGCCCTTTTTTTTTTTCCTTTGGCCCCTTCTCCCCCGCCTCCTCTTTTTTTGAGATCCATCCTCTATCAAGAAGTCTGAAGCGACTTTAAAGGTTTTTGAATCCAGATTTAAAAACCGACTTATAAAGCATTGCAACAAGGTTACCTCTATTTTGCCACAAAGCGTCTCGGGATTGTGTTTGACTCTCCTGTCTGTCCAAGAACTTTCCCCCCAAAGATGTGTATAGTTATCGGTTAAAATGACTGTTTCTCTCTCCTCTCTCTCTCTCTCTCTCTCTCTCTCTGGAAATAAAGAGGAAAAGAAAAAGGAAACTTTTTTTTTGTTTGCTCTTGCATTGCAAAAAAATTATAAAGTAATTTATTATTTATTGTCGGAAGACTTGCCACTTTTCATGTCATTGGACATTATTTTTTTGTTTGCTGAAGTAAAAAAAAAAAAAAGAAGACAAAGGTTGTACCGTGGTCTTTGAATTATATGTCGACTTCTATGTGTTTTGTCATTTTTTTTTCCTTCAATATGTGAAAATCAAAGCGCCATATGTAGGATTATATCTGCAGGACTATTTCACTAATAAACGTTTGGCATAGATAAATAAATAAATGCAACGGCCCAGGTCCCTCTTTTATATGTTTACCAGCGAGCCTTCACGATGCCTGCAAGTAGTGCTGCCTGCGAAGGGGGTAGTCGCCCAGGCCCTGCGAGGTTCCCCTGTTCGGTGAAGGCTGAGCTTGCCGGCCTGCATTGCGGTGGTGGGACCGCCTAGCTCAGTGGTTCTCAACCTTCCTAATGCCGTGACCCTTCAATACAGTTCCTCCTGTTGTGGTGACCCCCAACCATAAAATTATTTTCGTTGCTACTTCATAACTGTAATTTTGCTACTGTTATGAATCGTCATGTAAATATCTGATATACGGGATGTATTTTCGAACGACCCCTGTGAAAGGGTCGTTCGACCCCCAAAGGGGTCGCGACCCACAGGTTGAGAACCGCTGGCCTAGCTGGAAGCCTTCAGCTCTCAGCGGTAGCAATATTACTGGTTTTTGAAAATTAGATGCTGTCCTCCTGCCTGCCCCCCCCACCTCTCCTTCCTCCTGTCCCTTTTCTTGCCCTACCCCCCTGCACCGCACGTCAAATAGGAAGAGAGGGTCCTGCTTTATTTTCTTAAAGACAAAGTGCTTTCTTTCAACCAAAGTGTCCCGCGTAGGACTGTGGAAGGGACTCCTATTCAAGTGTGAGCTCTTGCTCACAGAGGGGCTATCTGCGTAGCCAGTGAGGCCGGACATTCCTACCAGTGCGGCCATCAGCCCCTGGAGAGATGCTGCTGTATTTATCAGGAGGAACAGGCAGGGAGAGGAGACTAGATCAGCCTGTGTGTCTTCTTGCCTCCCCCACCCGGTCCGCAGCTTGTTCCCTAAGCCCCGAACCCCACCCCTGACTTCTCCCGAAATGCCAATTCCAAAAACCTTGGAGGGTGGCTGGTTGGGTCTGGGCGCACAGAGGAGGCCCGGTTGGGGAACCACCTTTAGGGGATGGGGGCCCGTCTTGCACTCTGCGAGGCCCAAGGACTTCCCTCGCTCTCACACGTGTCCCCGGGCGTCTAGCAGTAGCCCCTGTGTGAGAGCCAGCGCCCTGCGACAGGGCAGTGGCCCCCTCCAAAGCCTGGTTTCTCCCTGCTGCTGCTTCCTCCCTTCAGGGCATAGAGTGGGGGTTTGGGGCTCCACCTTTCCCCTCCCTCATGATACTCGGACTCTTTAGAAGCTGGATTCATTTGTACTCGGGAGTGTAATGTCATGTTTTAAATGTCTGACAACGCGTAATACCTAATACCTATGAAAGTGAATGAACCCTAATCCTGTGTCTGTGGCTGGTGCCCCTCGGACCCCTGCCAGGGAGCAGGGCGGAGGCCGGCTGGGGCTCCCAGCTCTCTGATCGCTGTGCCCCTTTCCAAACCTCCACAATTCAGGGAAACAGGCTCAATTAGGCTTTTGTTTGGCCTGGGTCTACCGAACGGGTTAATTACAGGTCCCACGTGGGGGCTGAGAGAAAACAAACTTTGCATTGACAATGTTACAGCGCATTAGACCTGCCCCTCGATTGCTTTGATTGTTGCCTGATTCTTGACAGAGGGGTAATAATTTGGCTCCGGGTGATAATGGCTTGTAGTGTGTTGAGAAAAACAGGAGTTATGTCTTATCTCACACAGATCTTCTCTGGGGGGAAAGCCCCCCCCTTCCTTTTTTATTTGCCTTTTCTTTTCTCTCCCTTGTCTGTTTCTTGCAGGAGACCTGACTGTTAGCTTCCTGTTCACAATCTCTATTTGTCTGCCTTTTCCGTTTTCCTCACCATCACACCTGGGACAGACGAAGAACTGACTGGAAGGGTAGCAGGTCCAGCGTGCACGCTGGTGTCACCGGGAGTCCTGGTCCTTAAGCCCTCTCCCCTCGCCTTAGCCTCTGCTAGACTGTTGTGACCACTTATGACCTGGAGATGGAAAAAAAAAAAAACACCCAAAACTTTATTTAGGGTTCGAATGCCATGGAAGGACTTCCGTGAGGCACACATCTTTGTGATGCTTCATCATCCTGACATTTATTTCTAAGATTAGGACGGGGTGTGTGTGTGTGTGTGTGTGTGTGTGTGTGTGTGGTGGGGGGGGAGGGTGATGTTTTACATATATAGATGCCAGTCTGTCCTGAAGTCCACAGCTTGAATTGAAGTGCAGGACTTTGGGAGGGGAGTGATGAATGATTTGGTTTCACTTGCTGGATTCAAGATATTTGTTGCCTGACGGCGGAGAATGGATGGATGGGTCGATAGCATCCCGGTTCTTGTATTATTCATAGGAAAGGTGTGTTCCCTCTCCGCTCCTCAGCGTGTGCTCTCCAGTGCGCAGCTGAAATGTCTCCTTGTTTGCAAACCCTCTCCTGTGCACACGCCCTTTTCCCTGCACACCTCTGGGACCCCTCTTCCCATGGAATTCCTCTTGTTTGCTATTATCTTGGGTCCTCCCTCCCCTTACGACTCTGCATTCTCCCTTCTGGCCGTTGGGACTCATGTCCTCCCGCTTCTGCAAGCTAAAGCGGGATGCACCTGACACCATCCGGCCAGGATGCTCCCCTCAAACTGGGGACCCATATCCCTATCTGTGCTCTCACAGACAGGATTGACCCCCGCCAATTGTTTCAGCCCTGTCTTTCCTTTGCATCACGTGGACCTGGCTTTTCTTACCATTAAAAAAAATTCCCTTCTCAGCTAGAATTACATGCCTGACGATATTTTTCTTCATGGAAATAACACTTCTGATCACTGGAGATTCTATGGGGGTGTGTGTACCCACTTAACCATTCCACCGCTTTCGTGGGATTCAATATTAAAGGGCGACTTGTGCAGCTCTGCCTCTGTGTGCCTCTGGCTGTGAAACTGATCTTTGAAGGACCTCTTTTCTGGCCCATCCTATCCAGCCACGAAGACAGTGTGCTCTGAAGGCACCTAGAAGTACTTCGCATTTCCCCAGCACCTTGAAATTTAAGTCATAAGATCATTCTCAGGGGAATGCCTGGAAAATCCCATGTGGACTTACTTAGTCTTGTCCCTTTTCTTTAAAAAGAAGAGGGGGAGGGGGAGTTACAACTCCGTCCAAACCACCAGAAAAGCTACCTTCGGATGGAACCCAGCCTGTCAGGTTTTAACCTCACCCCGCCTGTCAGTAAACTAAGCAGAAAGGACTTCCTTCTTATTTGTCAAGGTCCTGTGGCCAACGGCTTCTGTAGAGGAGATTTCCAATCCCAATTATGCTAGAGTTCCACTCATTTCCTATTTACTTCCTCTCTGCTCATCAACAGTTAAAGATGACGTCACAACAGCAAGGCAAGTCACCTTTCCTCTGGGGGCTGGGCGGGGGGAGGGAGCAGGGGATAATTTTTGTGCCTCTCTTTTAAAAAGTGTTCCTTTTGCAAATGCCCCCACATCTGGAATCCTCCCCGTTTAACGCTTTAAAAATAAAAACAGTTCACTTGTACAGTGTGCGTGGCTGTTTTTCAACTCAAAGTGCGCGGCACTCCTTCAGGGCGCTGAAGGCCCCTTCTGTTTACTGATCTTTCCTGATTGTTGTTTTCTTGATAAGCGAGCAAAGCCACTGAATGGCTGTTGGAGCCCTGGCGCCGCAAACATAAACTTCACAGCTTACACTGTCCCAGGCCTGATGGGGGATCTCTCCACACCTCCCGGGGACTCTGAAGTGCAGACAGAGCCCCTGGTTCACAGGCAGCGAGGGAGGGAGGGGGGAGGGGGGAGGGGGAGGGGGAGGGCGGTGGGGGAGGGGTGGGGCTGCGGGGTGTTTGCTGGCAGCAGCATTGTTGCCATCACGTCCTTTCATTTCTCTGGCGCTGAAGCTGTGGCTCCGAGAAGCCCGTCTCGTCTTCCCAGCGCCGCTCTGCAGCAGATGATTGGATTCTTTCTGTTTTTTTGGGAAATGGCTTTTGCAGATCTCTGTTGCTGAGCCCTCTGCAAAGGCGCGAAGCAATGGTACCCAGAGCGTCCTGGAAAGAAAACACCCCCCTCCCCCAAGGGGACGCCTAGATTTGGGGGAACGGTGTGTGTGTGTGTGGGGGGGGTGCTGTTAGCCAGGTGGGAAAGGCCTGCCCAGTGACCCCGAGGGCCGGTCCAGCGTGGGAGCCCCTCCCATTCTGCCCATCCAGGT